CAGCCTTAGGAGTGCAAAAGCCCGTTCCACAGTGCTCACATGCAAAATTGCGATTGTCATGGTATGACTGTGTAAAGCGCACCCGGTAAAGCCAGCCGGAATAAGGCATACTCTTGCAACCCAGCGAGCGTTTAGCTCTCTCAGATTTAGTATCAAAGAGACGACGACAGAAGCGACATTCTTTGGCTGAAGAACCTGCAGGAATGCTTGGAGGGGGAAGGTCAGTAAGTGTGATTGGACGAATCAACCGCACATCACGATATTTTCTGCGCGAATGCTTGTCTGCATACTTCTGCCTTATTTGCTCCGGGTCGAAGTTCATGCAACTGGCAACATCATCCGCTGTGGTATCCTTGGAGCCTTTGAGAAAAGAATCCGGGCGTGGCTGCTTAAAACGTAGCCTGCGACGTGTACCAGCCAAAGCATTTTGATCCACATGAGGGCGTCGCGATGATGTAGCAGCGGAACGCACGGCGCGCTCCTCTTTGTTCAACGGTGCACGTTGTTGCCTCTGATCCACCGTGAGAGTTTGACAGACCACGTCATGCTGTCTCATGCTCTTCAAAGACGACACGTAGCTGCAACCCTGTCGACCACAAGAGTAGCGTCCATCTGCTCTTCTTACTGCCCCCAGCTCCTCATACGCTCTTGCTGCTGCAGCCTCTTGGCGGGCTTGTCGCGCTGCATCCGCGTGTCTGGCCGCCCATGTGTCTTGAGCTGCCAGATCGTCTTGTGAAGAAAACCAACGTCTAAGAAGCGATTCCCACATGGCACCATCCTCTGCTTGTGCCAACTGTAACCACTGCTGGTGCCACCCCTCGACTGGAAGCTGTAAGAACTTGCGCAAGTCATCAAGTCTGGACCACAAAGCTTGTCGGGTGTTGGGCGTACGTTTGCACGAAGGATGTAAAGATTCCCTGGGTGACCAAGCGAATAGAAGGTGACATTCCATACGATCGTTTGGCAACCGAGCTAAATGCCCTAGAAATCTCAGCTGCCCCAGCGCAACATATGTATGAATGTTGCGGAGTCCCAACTTGCGTAAAAGATCCTGTTGAGTCAGGTTGCATTCTGCATCTCACTCAAGCGCTGACCGCATAGACCCCGTGCAATCGTGTGAAGGAAAGTCTGCCACTGGTGAAGAGTGGCACTCGAAACCACCCTGGATTCGGTACCGAAAACCAGTGCCCGTATGACTGCAGCTTCCACCAGACGGCCCTGCATTCGCGGCGAAAGGCCGTATCTAGGCATTTGCTGGTAAAGGTTGCGCCAAATGCGCTTGGCACATTGAAGTCTGTGAGCATCGTCCTGGGCATATAACCCATGGTAGGAAAGAATTCCTCCCAGCAACCGCGCATTACGGCGAAAACCATTTCGTTCATCTGCGCCAGAGGGATGGATGAGTACCCGCTTCGTCTTGCTTGGTTTAATGACCTCACCCCAGTCGCGCAACGTCGATGCCAAAAGCCGTTCTGCTTCCTCTCTGCCACTTTCTCGTAACAGAAGAGAGGTATCGTCAGCAAACATGATGGACAAGAGTTTCCAAACCTGAAGTTGCGAAGCATTCTTGAGCGAGGCCGATTGCTCCGGTTGACGCGCCGGTTAAAGCGCCTGCCCCAGAGCGAGCGCAGTTCCACAAAATGCTCTGGGCACTCTTTCCTGAGCGCATCCAGTCTTTTGGCAAAATCCTGCGTGACGAAATCATGGAAAATCGTGTACAAGCCTGGAGACGTGCTGCACCCCTCCCTAAAGCCAGCTGTAAGCTTATAAGGCTGGGAAAGCCCTTCCGAAGCGCAAGCCTGATAGGAAGTTCCTGAATGAAGCGCGTCCAGCGCCTGTAACAACGGCTGTGGGAAGCCGAGCCGCGCGAAGAGCTCAAAAGCCGCTGTACGATCAACACTAGGAAAAGCCTTGCGAATATCGAAGAAAACCAACACCAAAGCAGACTCGACAGCTAAGCAAGCACCTGGAACATGCGAAACTTCAGCCGCCATTTCCGTTACCATACGTACCACAAACAAGGCGTCCTGCACAGAACGATGCTTCCGATTGCCCCACTGACAACCAGAAAGCAGTTGCTCCTCCTCAGCGAACGACATGATGCGAACAGAGAGAATACGTCCCAATACTCTAGACAGAATAGGCAGCAAAATAATGGTCCTGTAACAATCAAGGTCCTCCCTTGACCCCTCCCCTTTGTACAAAGAGATGCCCAGGCCATCACGAAGTTGCTTGTCCCACTCATGAGCCGGTCGATGGAACATCACGCAGACAATACGATAAAGCTGCTCCTGCACTCAATCCCCTGCCAAGCGCAACATGTTGATGGTAACTCCGTCCTTCCCAGGTGAGGATTCTCGCACAGCTTCTAGAGCTTGGTTGAACTCTGCACGAGAAGGAGTGAGCCCCAATTCGTGCCGAACGGGTCTCTGCTTGACTTGTTGACGAATGAAACCATCCTCCACTTTGAGAGCCTGTGACGAGACCGTCATGTTGTGAGCGCGCAACGTATCAAGTGAAAAAGGCGCCGCACCGGAGTAGTTCACTCCTTCCACTGGTACTCCCAAAGAGCGAAGACTGCGATAAAAAGAATGCCAATCACCAAGGTTCATACTCTGCTGCATGTCGCGTATCTGCTCCGACACAAATCTCTTCCGACTTCCTTTCAGAAAGTCCTTCCTGCGACGTCGCGCTAACTTCCACGCAGCAAGACTTTCTGTCTCCTCTGGAAGACCTTGGTGTCTGCGAACCCTCTCCCAAGCCCCAGAAATCTCGTTGTCAAGCACCAACAGTTTCTCTTTGTCGCTACGCGAAAGAGGAGCACCTCGACGTTTGTCTTTGCAAGATGTCAACACAACCAACCAAAAGTTGAGAAAGCTCTGCCCAGTCTACTTCAGGAGGTGGAACGACATTGGAAGCAACTTGAGAAGCAACAGGAGGCTGTTTGCCTTGCAACCTCCTCCGCGTCGCCGACTTGAGACCCAACTCCGCACGTAAACTGCAGTGACCCGGCAAGTCTTGCCACTGGCCATTCTTCCCCATTGTCGCACAATCATCTGCACGTTCGTTGCCACGATTCCCAGTATGCCCTTTAACCCAGTGCCAATGCACCGGAAAGAGCTGTTTTGCACGACACCAAAGCTTTTGCGCACGCCGAGCCAGTACTGCTTTTTTGTTGACCTTCCATAGTCCTTGGGCAACATTGCAAGCATACTGCGAATCGAAGTGAATGTGCAAGGCAGAGATACTAGAAGCCTGCGACAAAGCCAGCTGGAAGGCCTTGATGACTGCCGACAGTTCTCCAGTATTGTTCGTAGCTCGCTGGGCACCAAGAAAGCCAGATTCGGTCGGGGAACATACCACGGGGCCAAAGTAGTCCTGCACGTCACCTGCAAGCCAGGCCGCGAGACCCCATCCAGCTGTAGAGGGAACCTGCACCTTGTTGTCCCGAAATATAGGAGGAGCACCTCCGTCTGTGTATATATGAAGAGCAGAAGCATCTTGCTCCTCCCAACCTTCAACAGTAGCCGGTGCCGCAGGCACCGGCGAGACCTGCAACTCGTCCATGCAAGACTCCACAAGCTTCTGGCACTGCTCGATACGATGAAGTGTTTCCGCAGAGTTACCCCGCAGCGCCGATGCATTGCAACGTACTCTCGTCTCTTTCTGATCTGCCACGACACGTCCTCGCGACCGACGTTTCCAGAGCATCTTACGAGCCTTACGAACCGCATGCTTCTCAAGAGATCCCAAGTGTAGATGCATTCGCTTGCCCATATGATCGGATAAGATGCCCGAAGTAGAAAACGTGCTCATGCCCGGCTGAACTGCAGTGTAAAGTGAAGAAGACAACAAAAAACCATCAAGTTCATACCATTGAGAAGTCCTTGCATGCCGCCAAGTCCCCCTGTGCTTAATGGGTTTCCATGAGTCAAGATGGACAAGATCCGAAGTCGCCACAAACTCCTTTAGCAGCCTGCCTCCCAAAGTTGTAGGAGTCTGCAACCCTTTGTTACCCACCTGTTGCCCAAAGCCATCGTTGACACCAATGTGACCATTGAAGTCTCCACCGATACATATCTCAAGAGTCTCATCTTTCAGCATGTTGCAAGCTGCTGCGCATGTGTGTAATGTCGTCGTTTTGAACCCACATCCGCCCCTGCAGGAGAGTACATGCTAACAAGAGCCAACTTGCGACCATGAATGCAAACTGCAATCCCAGCTAGCCTGTCTGAAGCATCTAAAGCGAAGGAGGGTCGCCCTTGCTGCTCCCAAAGCTGAGCCACCGAATTTCTCAGCAAAAGCCCCACCTGTCCTCTGCAAATCAGCAACCATTCCTCCATGTAAACCACCTGAAAGCGTAACTGCACAGTTTCGTCGTAGTGCAACTCCGTGAGCATTACAACATCTGTATTCTGCTGGCGTGCAAGTAGAAGAAGAGCCTTAAGCTTCTCTGCATGTGAAGTGAGATCCCATCGTAGACCTTGAGTGTTGATGCATCCCACCTTCAAACCCAGCGAGATCGGTAGCCGATATGACTGGCGAAAAGTGCGTCTGAAACGGTTCCTCCGGCGACCGCGTGCCTGAGCGGCACATGGAGCCAAGAATCGTGCAGTGTGAAAGAACACGCGTGAAGAGGATGTTGGTAAGCAGGTAGAAGCCACTGTACATGCCGTGACCTGCACATCCCAGCCATGAGAGAAAAGTGTATTGAAGACAACGCACATGCCTTCGACGGAGACTCACAGCGAAAGCGCTGCTGCGAGTCCCTCTTGTTCCCCGACGACACACCAGGCCGTCAGGGTGCCGCGCCGCTCTTGTCCGAGATCGCGAGGCAGGAAGTTGAAAGGCAGCAAACCCCTCGGGGACAGCTGCAAGCAAAAGTAAAGATATGCAAAAAGGAACTCGAAGCATGCAGTGGAAAATGCACACACGTCTGGCATAAGCATGTGGAGGGTCCATCCCCACACAAGCTGCCAGGCGTCTCAAGGCTCGTAAACTCACTTGTTGGTCTGCAGTCGCTGCCACAACTTGCTCTCTAGTTCGGTTTGGCTTTCACGCGCCACTTCAAAGCGAACGCCTTCGAACTTGGCGTGCAACAAGGTGGAGATATGGTTCTTAGTGTCTTGAGTCATAGCCGCCGTCGGAAGCAGAGCAAACTTCCAAACTCGGCCCTGGAGCGGGCTACGAAATTTCGTCTGACATGCTGCCACCTGTATGTCGATGGCCTCCTCAGACAGCTCTATGAGAGCCGCGACAGCTTCGAGGGCCTCCGAAGCTGTGGACGGAAGGGCGCCCTTCAGCACGTTCATCAGCACGATAAATGTATAGTATTTGCGGAATCCCCATGGATGGGGGGGTAGTGGTCGTCGTTCTGCTTTGGCTTTGTTCCTAGCGGCGGACACGTCACCGTTGTGTTGTTCTGTGAGCTTGTCCTCATACGCTGCCATGGCCTTGACCACTTTGTCCTTGAGCTCCTCGCTGACCAGAAGAAGTGCAAAGCCACAAGATCGCATGAGCATGGCCACATCCTGGGAGCGGTAGAGGGTGAAGCGGAGAAGGTCTTGAAGCAGGTGGTTGTCCGGGCCTTGCTGCTCAGCCGCAATTTGGCCGTTTGCGTCGGCCCTACGCTTGGTTCGAGGGGCCATCGCAGAGCTGGAGGTGTTCTGCTCAATCTCGGTCAGGAAATTGGGCGGCATGGCTCAGGGGCTAAACTGCAAGGCCCTCCGCAACGCGACGCTGTCTGCAGACTACACTGTGACGCCCGCGGGCGTGAGCCGTCCAAAATGGGCAGTGGCAAAAGCGACATTTAAAGTCGGTGATGGTAACTGTTGAACAGACTTGCCGGACCCGGTCAATCCACATTTGGTAGGGCATCTTCTTGCAGCATCGTATATGTTTACAGCACTGTGCCTTGCCGGGAAATTCTTGCAGGCAAAAGAAACAGGTGAGAGGCCGGTTCCAGCCTGGTGGGGCTGCTGGTAATGGCAGTTCTTGGGCACAAAGTTGTCGCTGAGGATCGCGCTGGCGTCGTCCCGGCGGAGGTTGTTTGCCTCGAAGACGGAGGCGACGGCGTAGACGGTTGGGGCGAGCTTTGGGGGCTGCTCGCGCTTCAGCTTGTGCAGCAGGAACTGGTGCCGCTGGCGGTGCGGCCGCTGGCGGTGGAGGCTCCGGTGCACGACGAGCATCCTGACGTTGTGCACGGCGACGAGCAAGAACCAGTCGTTGTTCCGGAGGAAGTCGTCCACATGGCTCGACGTGCTTTTTGAGAGATCGTAGAAACATTTCCACTCCACAGTGCGGGCAGAGGTACTTTCCGTTTGCTCCGGGTAGCACACCATGAACTGCATTTGCTCGTTCTTGCGCTCGAGCAAGCTGTTTGTCACGTTTTCCACCCGGCGCATGTCGTGCTTCCCAACGGTCCTCGGCATCTTTGTTCCGTTGAGCTCGTTGCCATAGCTTGACGGTAGCAGACCACGTGCGACCTTCGTCCTCTTGAGCAAGGGCCACCCATTTGGAAGGCCATGTATGAGGGTCCTCTTCTAGCAGAACACGTACTTGACCAAGAAGCTTCCAATAGTGGTGGCGCAGCTGGTGGCCGCGTTTACAAGCAGGTAGCGTAGCTTCGGGAACCAACCAGGCGAACAAGACTTGCTTTTCTAACGCCGCGTCGGGTTTCCTGACGACGTGGCCCAAGAAACGAAGAGTGCGGGTTCCGATCATGTTGTGGACGGTGTCTAGCTGTAGCTCGTGCCGCAAGTCGGACATGGTACGCTTGTCTGCTCTCATATTGCGTCGACGTTGGCGTAGGAGACCAAAAGAGACCGTGTTGATGAAGGTCTGGTACTTTTTCACTTCCAACATGCTGAAGGGGCGTGTTTCGCAGCCGTAGAGAAGGGAGGCGACCACTGTTGCTTGTATGAGGCGAGCTTGTACTGGCGGCGATAATCCAAGGCGAGGAAGTTGAGCGTAGACCTTGCGCCACAATAGCTTCGCTTTGCCGAGTCGGTGATCGGTGTCCACTGTGGTGTTGCCGTCGGGTTCTAACCAAGCTCCTAAGAACCTGACATGTTGTTCATGGTGAGGGGGCGGAGGACCCGGCTGAATTACAAGACGCTCGGTTTTGCCAGGATGTACCGTTTGCCCCCATGTCTTCAGCGTTTGTACTGCCAAGCGTTCAATGTCCTGGGCTCGGCTTTGTCGCGTGATGAGGGTCGTATCATCCGCAAACAGGGCCACAAGCAAGTTTAAAGTGTCCAATACCTCTGCATGTTCGCGATGTTCTTGTTGGTGACGTGCTCGTTTGGAAAGAGGACGCCCACGCCGCGAGAAGAGTTGAACACCTGGCACTTCCCACTGGCTGGATGCCTTTCGAACGAGCTCTTCCATGGGCAACGTGTGGAACATGTTAAAGCATATTGGCGAGGAGGGACAGCCTTCACGGAATCCCTTGTCAGCTTGAAATTCTGAAGAAAGGCCAGCTCGAATGCGGATAACGTATACTGTCTTGGTGTGAAGTGTCTGTAAAAGGTGAAGGGTCCGCTGCGGAATACCAAAGTGTCGAGTGAACACCGTCCAAGCTGCTTCACGGTTGATCGAGGGATAGGCTTTTTGAATATCCAATAGGACCAATTGAAGAGGGTCATGGTCAGCAGGTAGCGCACGGTCTCGTGGGAGGACTTCAGAGGCAAGGTCAATGAGCATACGTAAGATTAATATGACGTCCAGGGTACAGCGATTGGGTCGAAAGCCCCATTGATAGGCCGGGAGACTCTGAGCATCTTCGACATGCCGTCGCAAGCGCATTGCCAAGATGCGGGCCATCAAGCGGGACATAATGGATAAGAGAACTATCAGGCGATGTTGATTCAAGTCCGATCTCTCTCCTTTCCGCTTCCACAAGCAGATTCCAATGGCTTGGTGCAAAGACTCCTCCCAATCTGCATCTGGATGGGCCCATAGGCGTTGTACGATGCCGGTGATGACTTGTATACCCAGTTCTCCCGACACACGTAGCATCATGACAGTCACTTCGTCGCGACCCGGCGCTGCCTCGCGCATAGCCGCCATTGCTTCTTCCACTTCGGGTCGCTCGGGAACCTCGGCTAACCATGAAGCTTCCGGAACAGCTGGTCCCATATTGTCATCTAGAGTGTCAGGAGACACAGGGAGTGGACCATTCATGGTCTGTTTGAAGTGGTCAAAGGCCTCCTGAAGGGTGAAGGCCTCTCTACCTTCTCGACTGTGTCCGTCCATATAAATACCCAGTTTGGGAAGTGTACGGTAAAAGGTGCTCATGTCGTGGACGGCGACAGCTTGTTCCAAGGTGTGGATGATAGACATTACCCATCTGTTGCGCGCTTCTTGTTTGTAGTCGCGTACCGCCTTCTTGGCCGTACTGAGTTGTTGGCGAAGGGTAGCTTCATGAGGTAGCCCACGACTATGCTGCACTTGCTGCCATAAGGCGGCTTGCTTCTGCATCAGCTGCTGGATGTGCTCCATGTCCGCTTCGGTGTAAAAGGAGGACACGCTGTTAGGGCGACCTCGACCCACAACTTGTTCCGTGGCTTCAACCAAGATGTTGGAGAATTCGGTCCAGGTCATGGCCGGCAGCGTCGGTGACGAGAAGGCGGGACGAGAGGTAGAAGATGAGGTATCTGCATTGTGGCGGTGATGCTGTCGGAGAGCCAAACGTCGACGGGGCCACCAAGACATCTCGCCACGCGCTCCTCTATCGGCGGCTCTGTCAGCTTTTTCATTGCCCTCAATGCCCGTATGACCGTACACGTGTTGCCAGTGAAGGGTGCGCATAGCTGATACTTGCTGCACCAGCTCTTGTACTTTATGAACCAAGGCGATGTTGGATCGTGGTGTCCATTGTCCCGTCGCCATTTTGTACGCATATGTGGAGTCGAAGAAGATGGTTGCCGCGTTCGAGTCGGGGGTGCCATAGAGGAGGAAACGCATTGCATGGGCTATAGCACAGAGCTCGGCTGTATTGTTAGAAGCCAGCGTAGCCCCTAGGAAGTCCTCTTTGCCACGGTCGAAGACGACAGGCCCGTGAAAGATTTGCCAAGCGCCTTTTTTGTTCTGAAGAGCGATGCCCCAGCCTGCCGGTTTGCGACGACCCTGGCGAGCCACTGCGACTTCACATGAACCATCTGTGTAAATTTCCCATGGTGTAGACGTGGTTGAAGCCGGCGTCGACGAGCTGGAAGACGTAGCTGTGTGTAGGTCAGGTAGTTTTGCTGCCAAGGTGTCATGAATGAGACGTTGTATGGCCCCTCGGTTGGCTTTCGCTCCTTCACTGGGTCCACGAAAAGCGTGATAGTTCAATGGTGCTGCGGGGCCCTTGTTCTGAGTCTGCGCCTCCTTGATGCGACGCGTTTTGGCAGCGCGGCGTCGTTGTACCACCGTAGCAGTAGGCTTGGCCAAATGGAAAAGCGCCTGTTTAGCCACATGGTCGGAGAAGCCAAGGTGGAGCGTCCGTATCGTCTGCACTTGTGATGCCAAAGGAGGTGAAGCGCAAAAGTAATCCAATTCGTACCACTTGTGATTCTGCGGGTGGCACCATGTACCACGATGACCCACGCGGAAGCGCGTGTCCACGACTTGAAGTTGTGTTTGTCCCAACCACTGTCTCTGCTCCACGCCGGATGGTGTGGTGGGGGTCTGGAGCGCATAGTTTTTGCTAGGATGGTCGGGATGATCACGGCCCACGTGGCCGTTCCAATCTCCGCCCCAGATCTGAAGGCAGGACGGTTTGGCGTCACACAACTGCCGGTGAAATGCGGTGGCACTGTCGTAAACATCTGCTCGCAGCCTTCTTTGCTCATAAGATTGGCCGAAAGGAATATATACCGCGACGAACGCACACTCCCTCTCCTGCAAGTAGAGGTACATCACAAGTAGATGGGGGTTGGGCGCTTCCCAACGACATCCACTGTCTGACCAGGCTCGATGTACATGATACGGCATGAGGAAGGCTGGACGCCCACGGTGTAGTAGTAAGAACTCCTCCATATACACCATGTTCAGTTCCAAGGGGCCTGGTGCGTCACGCATTTCGGTAAGGGCCAAAAGATCCCACTTGTATCTGCGACACGCCAAAATGGCATGTTGAAGTTTGTGGCGCTGTTGCAAACTGGTCCAAATCAAGCCTTGAGTGTTGATAGTTGCAAAATGAAACGAATTCTGAATTTGTACTTGCCGACTCGCCCTGTACGGATGGCGATCTCGGTCTAGCCGACGCCCACAGCGACTACCAGCGCAAGTAGCAAGCTGCGGGAAGACATGTTGCTGTGACTGTATATGGCTGCTCGGAGGGATAAAATTTGCACCGGAGTGCGGCTGTGAGATCCCCCTCCGGAAGAGTCCCATCAACCGATACGTTGGCTTTGTCTCTGGTTGGCCGCTCATGCCCTTAGTAGCAACGCACTGGACAAAGGAGCGTGACTCTCAGCGCCTTGAAGAGGCCCAGGACGTGCTGAGGAAAGAACACGCCGATGATGGCCATCATCGCAAGCCTGGAAACGGACGTGCGCGGCAGCTGGTAGCCGCCCTCGTCCCGGGAAAACTCGGCCGTGTCTGCCACTGCCGAAGTCGGCGTCAAGGAGGTCGCCCAAGCCCTCCCTGGCAACCTTTACGGCAGTTAGGCATGGAAAAACAGCCCGAAACTGTTTTGGCACAAGCGTGCAGATAAACACTGCGACGTCACGTATGTCAAAGGGGATGAGATTTCGCATCAGAGGAAAAAGCTTCATACCTACCCAACGGGGAATGACCAAACCCAAATCGAAAAGACAGAACTGTTAGGGGAACAAACTAAACACTCTTCACTGTCATACCTCATCGCGTATAAGTCATATAAAACGTGCTCCTGGGATGGACGGTACCGATCCCATTCGACAAACCGGACGGTACCGGTTGTCACTCCCAAAGCCGGGCGGTACCGACTTTCACACTCCCGGGTATAACCAAAAAGACCCAGACAAAACTGTTAGGGAAACAACTAAACACTCTTCACTGTCATACCTCATCGCGAACAAGCCATATAAAACGCGCTCCTGGGATGGACGGCACCGATCCCATGCGACAAACCGGACGGTACCGGTAGTCACTCCCAAAGCCGGACGGTACCGACTTTCACAAAAAAGGGTGTACGTTAAATAGCCAGGGAGCCTACGCCTTCCGTTGCTTGTGTTCCCTCTGCATAGCCACCGACAGCCGCTGCCCAGCCTCCCTTTTTCCCGCCGCCCCAGGCCCGTCACCCTTGCCTTTTCCGCCAGCACCCTTGCCGCCTTTGCCCTTAAAGTAGTCCTGGATCTCCGTTTCAGTGTACCCCAAGCTTGAGAGGACCTCCCGACGCAGAACCCCCGGTAAGTAGCGGCCAGGGCGTAAGCCAAGTTGTGGGAATTGGCCACCACGTTTGGCAATAGCATCACGAACTGTCTGGCTGTCGAGAGCACCTCGTGCCGCCAATCCTTCGATGTTTCCTTTGAAGGAGATCGTAAATATGACCGGGCGTTCGTCCGTTGCTTCGGGATTCTTGCAATACGCAGATTCAACCGCCGTCTGCGGTGTGTGTCGCAGCGTGCTTGCCACCGGCTCACCCACACCCTGCCGGACCAACTGTTCCACCACCTTTGTGAACAACTGCATTTTGAGCGGCGGTGGCCTGCCGCCCTCATTGCCAGTCCCCGCCGCACCGCTCGCAGCACCCCCCTCTGCCTTTGCCAACCTGGCTGCTTCCGCCCCGGTTTCCCACTGACGTAGGCAGTCCAGAATGCTCTCTTTGAACGCCCCCGTACCGAAGCATACAACCACCCTTCCAGCCCAGTCCTTGCCAGTACCCTTTGCCGTGGCCGAGGCCAGGCGCGCAACACCATCAACTTGGGTTTCTAACTGTTGAAGTCGTTCTTCCACGTTTGCCATGGCTCCGAACTGTCCACCCTATCTGAGCCAAGAGGCACTGCGCATTGTGCAGCTTGGTGACAAGCTCAACCCAGATGCACTTGTTTTAAATGATACTTCACTGACTTGTGTGCACTTACCAGAATAATAATCCTTGACCAGTTCCACGAATTTGGCCGGCACACCTTTTTTTCTCAAGATGGTCCATACCCCAGCCCTTGAGACGGAGTCGTACGCCTTGACTAGATCCACGAAGAGTACATAAAACGGGTGATGTCTATACGCCGCAAGCTCCATTCCCATTTTAAGGCAGAAGATAGCATCAATGACACCACGCCCCGCTCTAAATCCACATTGTGCCTCTGGCAACAATCCTGCCTCTTCTGCATACTTATATCCCGGAATGGATGCCAAGAGTATACCTCGCCAATTCTTACACAAGGTAAGATCGCCCTTTTTGGGCAAGGGGACCAGATAGGACGCACGCCATTCCTTCGGGAGTTCTTCGAGCCCCTCCCAAATACGGCAGTGGAACTCATGTCGTATTCGCACATTGGTGGGATCTAGTGACATAAGAATTTCAGCTTCAATTCCATCCGGCCCTGATGCTTTGCCCTTTTTTAGTCTCTGTATGGCAGCAATAGTCTCCTTGATAGTAGGCGTCTCTGCAAGAGACACCTCCGGAACCTTCCAACTGATACCATTCATCTCAGTCTGCTCCACTTGTGTTGGCACATTTAGCAGGTCAAAGAAATATTGTTGCCATCTGTCCACCCTTTCCGACTTAGTTAGCAGCAAGGCCCCACGCTGGTCCCGCAGTTTCCCCGCTTTTCTGTGTCCTCCAACAAAAATCTGCCTCTATTCCCTGTAGGCTGCAAACTGATAGTTATGATCCTTTGCATTTACCATTTCTTGTATACTGCGAGCCTTTTCATTCCACCACTGGTTTATCAACCGTTTCACAACTCGTTTTGACATCTTACACGCCGTTTTATACTCCTCAGACTGAAAGCCTAACGGTGACCGCGCCGCTGCCTCCCGCTTGTCCCGACTAAGCTGTTCAAGGTATTCCTCATGCCCCACTTGCTAAGCCGGAACATTTCTGGCCTGTACAGTCCCCAACATGGACACCGCTACTTTCCGCATGCCATTGCCAAAGAGCTCATACTTGTCATCTGCAGCAAACTCATGGAGCTGTTGGTTAAAGTTCTTACAAGTTTCAGCTTGCCCGAGCTTGCCCACATTAAGCCTAGGCACCCTACCTGTGATCTCCCTCGTGGTGCCCCGTGAGAAATTGCGCCCAAGTGCAACTTTTCTAGGCACCGACAGGGTTACTTTGACGAACCGATGATCTGTGCGATGCACGTAGCCCGGCATAACCTGAACGTTGTGTATAAGCCCCAGTGATCTTCGCTTGCATATGACATGGTCTATCTGAAACCATCGTCTAGAAGAAGGGTGAAACCATGTGCCATAGACGTTGTGTTTGAAAAGTGTGCTAGCAACTACCGGTGCATCCCGATCCCGCCCCGAACAAAAGTCCAGCAGCCGAGTGCCATTTTCATTAACTTCCGCCAGTCCGTGTCTCCCAACCATCTCCCGTAACCCATCTCCATCATTTCCGGCCTCGTCCGGGTCACGAGTCCCAACCCTGGCATTAAAATCACCCATAAAGATTAATTCATCTCGCGGAGCGACCTTGTCCATCATGTCTCCAAATTGCGCATAAAACGCCTCCTTCTCTTCTTCTGAACACTGGAATGTCGGCGCATAGCACGAAATAACTGAAACGAAACGCCCGTTTATCTTTAACCTGATACGCAGTAGCCGCCCACCACCACACTCACACAGCTCGTCAGCCCTCCTCCACGCGTACTGCATGTCCTTGTTCAAGAGAAAACCCACCCCTTGCGACGCCTTCTTAGGATTTTCCAACCCCGAGTAAACACACAGCCAGTCCTCTCCAATTGCGCACGAACCCTCCCCTTTCCACCTGTGCTCAGACACCGCGCACAAACTGACACCTTTACGTTGGAGTTCCCCACACAAGTCAACCACTTTCTGCGGATCTGTGCCTACGATCTTTACTCCCCCCCTTTGTGTAATCTCAAGATCACTTTTCATGGTTTGAACATTCCAGCATCCCCAGTTTAGCTTAGCACGCTTAGGCCCACCACATCTACGCTGCTCACGCCTGTCCGCATTCACAATTGGGCGAGTAGATGCAGTATGGCAGGTTCGAACACTTCTATCCCGTGTGGTAGCTATTGATACAGCAGAACAGCTAGCTAGGCTGAACTGCCGGTCGGGGAGGGACCTCCCCCGGGTTGCTTCCAAAAAAGGAAGCCCCGTTCCCAGGTTTGGTGCCCCCCCCCCCCGCCGCCTCCGTTAGCCGACATGTTAATGCAGAAAAGTCGCCACACAGCAAGAACTCTTAAGTATGTCGGGAACACCGGGGCACCACGGTGAGGTGGAGGTCGGACTTTGCCCCGGTCATCGCAAGCCTGGAAGAGGATGTCACCGCCCCCTCCGGGGGCATCATCCCAGAACCAAAAACTCGTGTAGTCCCCAAAGCCGGACTTGCCACAGTCGCCCCCGACCAAGCAGGCAAACTGTGACAGCTCCTGCACAGGAAACCACACCAAAACTGTTCAGCGCGAGATGCGCCTGCTTGCTCACAGTCAGAGTCGAACCCAGACCCACCTACAGAACCAAACAAAGAGGAACAAAGACCGAACCCAGAACCCTAAAAGACAAAAAGGACCATCCCCGCAACAAGAGGCACCAATCAACACAACACCCGTAGATGTCGAGAACGCTCAAAACCTTCCGCCCCATCCACAAATAGTCTCAAAACCACACTGTATATTGAGCACCCACATAACAGACATCAACCAAAGGTGCAAAACAACTCAAAGAGACAAAGAACTAGACCGGACGGTACCGGTCGTAAGCACAGCGGGCGGTACCGCTGGCATTTCAAGGCCCTGACGGCACAGGGCCGCATTCCTGAAAAACACACACCAGCACCTCTGGTCGAGGGGGCATTTTCGAAAGAACACGACGCCCACTGTCACCACGTCGACAAACCGCCCCCCCCCCCCCTTGCCACATTATGTTTGGGACTAAACAACAAACATCGAACCGAATAAATAACCAAATAACAACTTGTCATACCTTTAACCCTTTCCGCGTCTCCTCCACAGCTTAGCGCTTTGCAGTCCGACCCTGCTCAGTCGCCACGGAGGACCCACGCCGTTCCGCTGCCGACGTTCATCCTCTTTACCACCACCGCTCTTGCCCCCCGAATTTCGTCCTCGGAATACTGCTCAACGTCCTGGAGCGCATCCGCAAGCAGCCGCCCCGGCAAGAACTTGCCCTCACGAAGCCCCAGTGGAGGGTACCCACCATCCTCACGCTTCTTAGTGGCACTGCGCACCGCCTCACTGCCCAGCGCTGACCGCAAGCGTAGCCCCTCCAGCGAAGGCTTGCACAAAATGGTGAACAGCCAAGGGTCCGCCGACTCCCCCCGCGGTTCTCTGTAGAAGGCCGCCTCCACCGACACCACACTTGCCCCCAGGATTTCCTGAAGGGGTTCGCCTTCGCCATCCACCCCTTGCTGCTTGTGGCCTGGACCCAGCGACCTGCCTTCCTCCCTACTGGCCCTGGCACTCCCAAGTACGCCCTCTCCTTGGCCTGCCCCACGAAAAACGCCACCACCTGCCTGCTGCTCCTATCTTTGCCAACCCCCTTTGCTGTATGTACAGCAAGAGAGCCAACACTGTGAACAGTGGACTCCAAGTAAGACAACCTTTTGCCCACAGACTCGGCATCCATGGCGATGGCCGACTAGCGGCCCACAAATACGAAAAACCACGAACAGCGCTTGAGCACTCAAAAGCTCGGCGGAATACAATTTGCGCGCAGTCACTAAAGGTACAAAATAAAGTGGACAACAATAACATAGCAGCAGCACAACCAATCCCACGTCCCCAGCCAGAGTTAACGGTTTAGGATGTCTGCTTGGAACTGAAAGGACGAGATTCACAAGTGGCATCTTTTCAAGTGATATTTAAAGTGGTGAACTGTTCTATACTGCTCGCTATGGCCTATTTCCTTGACGCATATCGGACACGTTCTCGGGAACTCACTCTGCTCAAATTTATGGTCGGCGGCTATATGCAACCGAAGACTAGATGGCCCTGGCCAATATCCCGAGCAAAATGGACAAACATGGGGTGACTGCATAACATGCTCTTTCCTGAGATGCCCAGTCAGAGCCGATTCCCTGTCAAAACTCCGCGGACATTGTGGGCAGTTAAACCCTTCGGCCCGGAATGTGCCTTCCTTATGCTGTAGGATTTGATGGTGCGCCAACCCCGACCGCGTTGTATAACACTTCCCACAGCCAGGCAGTGGACAACGAAACTGCCCTCCCTGTTTTTGAACGTACCGACCCGGCTTGAAATATTTGGCTCGTACACGTGCCTCGTTTGGGTCTTCTGCTGCAGCCTGTACTTGTTTGCGTATTACCCATGCAGGGGTGGCCATTTTGCGTCTGATTCGTCTAGGGGTGACACCAGTATGCGCAGCACCAGGGATTACAGGAGGCATTCGGGATATGGAGTAGAATATTGACGCCACACACAACCGACCAAGAGCCAAATCAGCTTCCGTCTCCCATTGTCCGACATCATCCATCATCACGGTGCTAAACAATTGCGAAAGAAGATCGGCTAGTTCAAGTTCTGGATTATCCTGAAGCAGAGCCTGAACCACCGGCCGAATACGAGCAAGTGACTCCTCCCTACCCCCCCGATTAGCTTCCCACTGGAGAAATTTCGACTCCGGCAGTAAAGTGGCCGTGATGTGTTTTTTGGCCTTTTCCACCCGCTCGACACGCCCAACCCGTTTTTTGACTGTTGCCTGACGACTTGTTGATTTAATAGTAACATTAGGACACTCTCCAGCCCTCGGCTGACGAGGCTTGCTCCAGACGGCTGCCTGCCACACCGCAGCGC